CCTTTTTTCCCTTTACCCCTTTAACTCTCACCCTTATCCTTAGGTGGGGGGGGAATTGCATGAGTGAGTGTGTGGTTTGGCCCCCAGCCAAGGGCTAACCCATCACACTTTGGTATATTTGATATTTTCAGAATGTAAAATGTCAAAACAAAACTTAAAATTTTACATTTCAATCATATGTCAGTTTTTTAAAGAACCTATTTTGATTCTCAGTCACTTCAATTTCTTAGCTGAAGAGAAGGCATTTCTAGGTTTCTGTTTCATGAAGTAATATTTTGGGTGTGGCGTATTTCTTCAAAGCTCTTACTTACAGACCTGATATATAGCAATTCAAGATTCTACTTCTGGGTTGTACTTTTTTATCTGTCAAAGAAGAGTTCAAAAACCTATGGCACATGAGCATTAACAACGCCTAAAGCTATACCTCCACTGACCTTTTTCAAATGCTAAAGAGAGTGACTCTTACCTTGTACCATTTTACGTATGGCTCTTCTAGATGGCTGTAGCATTTTGTCCCAGGACAAGTTATTGAATTCCCAGTGTCAGCAAGAAGGTATAGCATATTTGTGTCATAACCTGAACATTTTGCTGCCTTCTTTGTTTGAACTTCCAAAACAATTTTGAGACATGGGATTTTTTCCCTGAGTGATGCAGAAAAAAAAAGAAGTTAAACATTTAATACACAAAACTATTCTTGTATAGAAATGTAAGCCTTTTTCTCCACTACATACCATATCATACAGACGTACACTCCAGAAGCACTCTCCCTTACTGGTTTAAACCAAAGTGCGTTGCCTTGGAGAGCAGGATTAGAGCTTTCCTTGATAGCCTTCAGTGGCTCTTCATCCTTCTGATGCCAGAACCATTCCACCTTATGTTGTTTTAGAAGTGAGCTGTTATAAATATGGGTAGCATCTCTATCTGGTAAAGCACATTGTAAAACAAACACCTCATCGCTAATTGCACGATACCGTATTTGAGGTTCAACATGGGAACATCCTGAAAAGCAGAACAATAAGATAGCAGTAGCACCTGAAAGAACACACAATCATCATGTTTAAAACACATAATTAGGAATACTACAAAAATTACAACTTTACCTTTATTTGTGTTAAATAATTTTTTATGTGACCAGGTGCTGGGCTAATAGAGAATTGATTTCCTTAAACATGGAGTCTGCCAATGTTCTTGAAAGTTTATTCAAAGGTTTCCAAAGGCTTATTAGGCCTTTTTCAAAAGCCTAATGTGAAAATAGCTTAAGATTTTTAACAAAGTGAAGATTTTCACATGGGTGCTAACCTGTTATATCTCAACTCTGTAGAAAAGCAGATGCAGCTGCTCCAGCTCTCCTTACATTAATGGAGAAGGGACTAACATAAACCTGAAGAAGCACAGCCTGCCCACCACACTCCCTACTTAGGATAAGATTGACAAGCATTATTCTCTCTCTGCTTTCAAATCTTTCCCCTCTTCTGTTTCAGCTATTGTCACTAAAATTGAATAGGTTTTTTGGATTCTGAAAGCTGTGGTCACCCATCCTAACCCAGAATTCTCTAAAGACTGACTGACCTTGCTGTGTAGCCCCTCCTGCCAGTCAGGATGCGGTAACCCTTGAAAGTATGGCAAATTTTCTCTTCAGCAGAAGGGAGAGCATGAAATCTTCGGTTCCTCGCCTGCCCACCTGGGAGACTTTGCAGTTTCAGTTTCTTTCTGCGAACTGAATTGGATCAAGCTCCAGTGTGGGTGGAAACCTTTGATATACTGGTTTCACCCTGTCTTTCTCTTCCTTCTCCCCCCAACAGGCTTGGACCAGCTGTTGGACACTTCAAGGAGTCACAGAGGCAATTTGTTTGCTCCATTTGGTTCTCAGAAATTCTCCTTTACACTTGCGTTTTTCTTTTCATTAGGGAACTGAATTTTGAATCATATTTAGGATAAACTGTATTACCAATACATTAAAAGCTTACAGAAACAGCTGTTTGCTTGACACAAGCATGAAGAGGCGAAAGAAAAAATTATGAAGTCATGGTAAAATGTAGATCCGCTTTTCTCAGCTGTCAGAAAGCACCATGAACACCAAACCTCACTAAAGCAGAATCTTACCTGGCAAATTAATCTCTCTAACTTCTGCCCCACTGACAAACAATGCTAGGATCCAGCACAACACGAGCATGATTTTCTTTATCTGTTTTGCTTGATATTCTGAAACATTTTCCTTAAGAATCGTCTTGCTTTCTGTAGAAGAGGAAAACATTTTTTTTGTAAATAATACTCCAATAAGGTAAACAATTACATATTTTATTATGTAGCTCTACAAAACTTAGCAGAGAGCATTTCCTAGATATTGTGCTTTTTTAAAATGGGGTTTGCAGCACTATTCCTGCTTATGCTATTTCACACAAATGCAGGATAGAGGATATTCAATATCATGCAACAGTCTCTTCACAACTTGCATAGAGTTGATCACAGACGGATTTCCAAGTTATACCTGCAGCAATACAGAACTCCACATCTGGAGTAGAAATGCAGGTCTTTCAGCAGCTGTTGCTGTTAGAAGAAGAACCTGTCCTCTAAAATGAGATATAAGATACCAAACAACAAAATCAGCTTCTAGCTAATTACAACTATCAGCAACAGACTGAGGAAGGCATAACTGGCACTAAAATCCATGTATCTCTGTTATATCTTGAAGGCCAGGAGGCCCAGAGTGTGTCAACTGGATTTCTTTGGGATTAAACCAAATTTGAAGACATGCTGCAGCTGCAAATGCCATTGAGCCCATGGGACTGGAGTAGAACCATGCAGAAGTAAAACCTTCAAAGTATCTACTGTGTGGACACCAGGTCTTTGATTCTAATTCTTTCACCCAAGAGACATGCTCCTATTGGGCTTTATTACCAGCTAAAATGGACATACCCTAAGACGTACCCTAGGGTCAGCAGAACAACCTAAAAACCCCTTCTTCTCCTCCATGACTTACCTGCGTGTGCAGCATCAGGTCCCTACTTTTGCACCACAGTGCTGTGGTGCTCTGCTTGAATGACCCTAGCAGAGAACAGGGGAATAGCCACACCGTCATACAATGTCAGCTCTGTGGAGTGCCTCCTGTGAGCCGAGATGGGGAACACCCGGGGGATTTGGGAGCAGATGCACAAAGCACTCAGCTGCACGCAGACCCCTATATTACAGCATCCTGCCCAAGGTGAAACCCCAAACCCTATTGTACACGGTGTTTTGCCTCTCCTACTAAGAGGTTTGATCTGTGTCCTGCAGCCTTCTCAGCCACAGGGCTAGAGGGAAGGCAGGCTGTCAAGCATGCATATTCAACAGCCATGGCTTAATTTGGGTATTTAGTAAGAACATATCCGACACCTGTGGTTGACATATCGAGAATGCCTGAATCAGTATCTCGGTGAGTAAAGCCCATGGCTTTTCTGATGTTCACGTTGTCCAACTGAGACCTCAAGGAGATTTTTCTTTGCTCCTTTGGCCACAGAGTGACTCTGCATTTGTACAGCTGCCAGTGAGGCACTGAGTCAGCCCAAGGGAAAAAAAAGAAAAGGTCAGGCAAAGGTTAGTCCCTTGTCTGTTGGCATCTCATGCAAATCAGGCACAACTTATACAAGCGGGCAGCAAGAAAGCATCCAGTGCACACTGGACTTGCAAGAAAGGTGAAGAGAACTCCTACTCTGCACTTTTTCAGGCAGCTATTCTGTGTAGAAAGGAGCACTTTAGTCACCATTCTCTTCAGCATGTTTCTATTCCTTGCAAGTGAATGGAACGATCTATTTTTACGCTCAGAAGTCACACAGAGTAGGTTAACGAATGCATTTGTCTTAACCCATCCTGACACTTTGTTACAGGTTGGCTGCTGCAAACTGTCAGTGCCCCATACGTCTTTTAAAATCACCCTGAAACTCCAAGCCAACACATAGGTTTGAATAAAGAAACGGTTTCCTAATATCAGTGGGCAAAAACCCTCCTAAACTTTGAGAAGCCTGTCTTATCCGCTGCAAAGGATCAATGGATCCTGACTCTTTGAATCTAGGTTTATGACAACTGCAAAGACCTCTCTCAAGGCATTCATTAGGGCTGCATCTCTAGCTCTATTAATACTGTATAAAACAAAGGATGATGTTTTGAGGTATGTCACCCAACAGCCCACGTGGCAAAGGCATAATGGTGCCAGTAGCAAACAGGACCCAAGGGCCCTGTGTGTGCTTCTGCACTGCAGTCCCTTGAGTGAGTGAGCTGATGTAATGCGTCACTGTTGTTAAAAGGGGAAGGCCTCATCTACTTCTCTGTCCTCCCCACTCCTCTCTCCCTTGATCCCAGGTGAATGGTCCAGCTCCTCTCCTGTGACAGCTCTGGTCCTTTCTGGTGACCCATTCAATCTGTTAAGCCATCAGAAGCTACCTAAGGAGTGCCTGACCTGCCACAAGATAAGCAGTGGAAGCATTTACTTCCCAGCTGCCCATTTGTCTGTAATCAGGGACACGCAGGCCACATCAAGTAATCATTCACAAAGCATTTAATAATGCCAGTGATGTATAATCTCTCTGCTCTCCAGTTTACTGCTGTGCTAACAATGCTCTCTTCAAGCTCAAAAGGTCACTATGAATGGAGAAGTGTGAAAGGGAGGGTTAACTAATGAATGTTATAGCTTTGGTTAGCAATCGGTATAATCTGCTGTTGTTTGTTGATAGACATGGGAAAATACACCACTGCCTTTTTTTTTTTTTTTTTTTTTTTTTTTTTGCTAACTGATAACACTTTTATTAGAGCGCCTTGGAAACTTTGCAGTTTTATAGTGCTTAAAAAGTAAGGTAGTGTGTGAAATTAAGAAGTGTCATCTTGCGAGTGTGCTTGGCAGGAAGAGAGGAATTAATAGCAGAAGCAGAGAGCAATTACCACAGGAGGGGGGTACTTGAAACAGGATAATCTTAAACTGACCATTCAGGACTATTTCCACTGCAGGTGGACTCAGGGTGATTGACTCAATATATTTAGTGACTCATTTTATCTTAGTATCTGCCATAAAAAGCACTCTACTCTGGGCAACATATCAAGAGTCTCCCCACCTTCTCCTGCCACGTACACACCTATATTATCATATCCTTAGCCTAAGGATTTAGGATGCCATTTAATTGGCAAGTGACTTATAGACAAAGGAAACTAATGTGGTCTTAACATAATTTCCTGTGGTAAAAAACGTAAGAGAGAAGAATAAGAACTGTATTATCTGAACAGTATTACTGTCTGTGTTTCAACTCCTAAAGGACTGTGACAAGAAAACAGTAAATCTTTATTTCATAGCATTTTGTGTGTATTTACATAAAATATAAGCAAAAGAAATCAAAATAAATTTCCTGAGAGCTGCACTGAGTTTCATGATATCTCTGAAGTCTAGTAAAGAGTGGCATGCCACAATCTTACAATCTACTATTCTGATTCTGATTAAAATCACTTCAGCGTCAGAGCTATCAGCTCCTGTGTCTTGTATTGGAAAGGCAAACATCATCTGATTCTAGGAGTATGATTAGTGATAATCACACAGGAGAAGAAAAAAGCTTCATTATACCTATTGAGCGAAAAAAAAAAGCAATCTAATGAAACTACTTACTAAGACACTACTGTTTTGTCTGACCAAGCAATTAAAAACAATTTACTTTAGAATGCACATTCAAAGACAATAAAACCAACTCACCTGTCAAGCAGATGGGGTAGGGAGTGCTAAAATCTGAAGCTAAAAGCTATAGTTAAAAAGAAATAATTATCTGAAAAATCTTACCTGTACATCCTACACTACATGATAAGAATTGTGGTTAGTTCTCGCTGTGCACTGTGTTGAGTCTGTTTCCTTTACAGGAATTTCCTCTACCTCATTTTCATCATCCCTTCCTTTCTCAGTTTAGTTGTGTTAGGTTCAAAATTTCCAGGTCATTTTCTTGTAAAAAGAACATGGGGAAAAACTTTGCCTCTAGTAAAAGATCAAAGCCTTCCAGGTTCTAAAATTTTCTATTTGCATTACGTGCAAAAATGTGTTGGGCTTTTTAGTTTGCTTCATTTAAGAGGGAGAATAAAAACTTGTTTCTTTTTTTGCTTAAATGCTGCTACTAGGTGGTTCCAAAAAGTGTGTAATATCTGAAATCTACAAGAGACCCACACTTCTGCCCAATACTGAAAAATATGCACTATAAGAGCCGAGTTCTCCTTACCCTTAGTCTCCTCAGCTACCTGCCACACCCGCTGCAAGTGCGCACTATAAGAGGGCTGTGACAGACTATTACTTTCTGTTTCCTCCCAGTTAAGCCTTGTGGGCTACCCAAACACAGCTTTGGCAGAAAGAGAAAAGAGAAGCCCTAATGAATCTGAGCTGTTTATGACTTGTCCCTTCGACCTGCTAGGCAGGCGGAGCACTTCAGCATATACAGTCCCACATGGTCCAGCCCCTCTTCCAGACTTCCTGCATGGATGTGAAACCTGAAAAGACAGGCTGCACAGTGACTCAAACTACATAAAAGCATCTGAGAGCACCTTGTCATCAATTCAGACCTCAGTTCTCCCTACTTCAGTAGAGGTTGCGTAAATATTTAGGTCCATCACTTTGCACCAGACTTATTTCAAGAACAGTAGGACTTATCATAGAATTATAGAATCATTAAGGTTAGAAAAGACCTCAAGGATCATCAAGTCCATCCGTCAACCCACACCCAACCCAACCCAACTTGTTTCTTCTTTTCTTGGGTGAATTGGACTCTTTACTGCAGATTGGGTCAATTGCTCTCTTTCTACAACAAGAAGCTAAAAAAGGCTTTTTACAGTGTAACAAGGGATTTCAATGTTATATACACATTCCTTTATGCAATGGCCAGTATTAATGATTCTGCTGGATTCTGAGCATTTGGAGATACAGGATTTGTATTGTCAGCTTCCAGCATGTATTCAACTCCCCGCTCTTTCCAGAACAGAGCCCACTGATGATCAAGCTTGGCGATTGTCTCCTAAAATATTTTCAGTGTTTTGCCCCAATACAACATATATATTTTGTTTATAAGTTACAAAAGGCTCCAATGTATCTCTGTAGATTTCACTATAAAGAATTAAGGTTTTTAAAGGTGTCCTTTCTGACTAGGAAAAAAAGTATTTGACTTTCTTCTTCCCCTGAAGAAATTTCAGAGTGCAACACAGATAAGGTCGAGCCCATGCTGCTTTCAAGCCATTGGTCAGACTATCAGAAAGAGAAGATGGTTCTTTCCAAAAAAATGCATCTTACAGACACAAAAACATCCTTCCTTCATTTTAAGTATCAATTGTCATACTCTCCAAGTAATATGTTTATTACTCTCAAAAAATTAAGTAGAGCAGTCCAACTGTTAGAGCAGATCTTAGAAATGCAATAGAAGCACCAGTCCCATAGAGTTTTGAAAGCCGTGGTGCCAGGAGACTGAGTTCTATGTCATACTGGTTACTACACTGGATGAAAACCTTGTCAAATAGTACCAAATGTTTGGCTGAGCCTCTGCTCCAATGCACCCCTTCCTCTTTTGTAAAAGGGATGTATATGCTAAAAAAGCAGCCTCACACACCTGTACTTCCCAGGTTCATGTTTATCCTTTGCTGCTACAGCAAGTTAAAAAAGGAGAGGGTAAAGGACTACTCCAGAACAACCCCCCCGGTTCCTCTCTCTCCTCCTTCTCTTCCCCCTCAATCACTTACCCTCCCACTCACACATTTAGCATCTTTTATGCTATAGCTCCAGGAAATTGTGCCTCCCCACCCCTATGGAAAGTCAAGGTGGGGGTCCATATCTTACCTTGTCCATCTCACTTTTGCTGAAGCATTTTGCCAGCCAAGAAGCAAGGGGAAAATTGCACTATCGCAGTGTGTACACAGTGTAATCTTATAGTGATGGCAAGATTATGTCTCTTTAGTATTCTGGTACTGTTCTGGCTTGACAGTTTTGCACAACACCTCCTCCTCTGCCCAGATATGGTTAACACCAAGTGGGTAAGAAATTTTCCACTCCGATTATCTTCTACACTAAGTCAGTGGTGTTGGTTCCGCTGTCACAGGAGGTGTCTGAACAATAGCTAAACATGAACCTCTGTCCACTTTGTACTAGCTTATACAGTCAGTGAAATGGCATACACTCAAGGGCAGCTTATGGAGCAGTGGAGTAACTCACCTATTACTCCTCTGTGAAATAAGGGAAGCTGAAGTTATTCAGTACAAATTTACTGCACTTCAGTGCAAGGTGCCTTGGGTATCAGGGTGTAATATGGTTAGTGCCTCAGAAGGGCTTTGGATGTACTAATAACTGGATAGATCATTTGTCGACAGAGAAAGAGCAAAGCAGATAACTCACAACTCAGGCCTCTAAAATATTTTCACTCTCACAATCTCTAGTGGTCAATTAGGAAAGATTGCCTAGCACCTCAAATTCCATGGCAATTCCTTCTTGCCTTCCTTGGTAGTCAAGCCTGTTTACTGCAAGCCAAGAAACATAAAACTGACAAGGATGACCGTTGTTGTATTACGGGTTTTCTTTCAGAAACTTGCTGTGCTCTAGAACAAAAGTAGGTCAGAAACGTTTCTCCTTTACTCCCATAGGAGACCTTACTCTTCCAATGGCTTTAATGCCCATCATGAAATTCTTCATGGCCACATGCCCTTGTGTGAATACTGTTCCTTAGCTTGAACAGCTCTTCTTCTTTCTAGTGCTTTTTATTTTCCTGTATGCATTTGTTGACAATGCTCCTATTCCTGTCTCGGTTCATTTTCCCAGCCTAAACAGTTTAAACTCTTCTAGGATCCCTTCACATGATTCTCCTGGTGATCCTCATGGCTCCGCCTTGCAGGTCCTAAGGTCTCACTTCCCTGGCAGCACTTAACTGGTATTTGCAGTGTATTGTCTGACTTTCCTTCATTATGCTGGCAGCTGGCAACAATCCTAAGGCTCTCGCAAGTTTTAATTTCCAGAGTATGAGTTCCTTCCTTGTAACTGAATTTTTGCTGCTAGTACCCAAAGGCAGTACCTTCCTTAAGTACTACATAAATAAATATGTTTAATGTATTACATATTAAGCCACTATACACACATTGGAACATTGCTATCACAGCTGAGCTGAATTTTTAGGCTCAAGTCTCCAACTGAATGCCTGAATTCAGAAATGAGGTGCACTTCATAATCAAATCCCTCAAGAGATCTCTTTGCTAGGGGTATTCAAATTATTCCTAGTGTGTACTGACAGCACTTCACAAACAGACACAGTAACTTCTGAATTTGCCTA